TAGTGAATGCTACAACTACACCCGCAATATCACAACACTCTAGCACAATCTGCCAACCTTGTGAATGCTACAGCTACACCCGTAGACTTACAGCTCTCTGACACTATCTGCCAACATTATGAATGCTACAGCTACACCCAAAGACTTACAACACTCTAACACTATCTGTCAACCTTGTGAATGCTACGGCTACACCCGCAGACTTACAACACTTTCTCAACCTTGTGAATGCTACGGCTACACCCGCAGACTTACAACACCCTAACACTATCTGGCTGCTAGTGAATGCTACGTCTATCTCGTAGTCTTACTACACTTTCCACACTATCTGGCTGCTGATTACTAATCCAAACACATCCAACGTCAAGCATACACACCCTAACATCCCAAACTGAACTCATGTCCTGAGTGGAATCCCTAACCTGATTCCTTAAGGCCTGCTATCAAACATTCCGAGAAGGCGATCTCATTATTGGCAAGTTTTCGAACTTCCAACTCACATTATCCTCAATCCATATAGCCGCTTGGTTTGTCTTCCTTTCTGACAAGGATGCGAAACTTATCCCAGTTTCAAAACTGATCTTGCTTCTGGATCCCTAGACGATTCTCCCCCACTTAGATTCGACTAAGTCTTCACAATACATGAAAATTGAAGAATTCCTAATCCTCACTTTCCAACGATCGATCCGATGACAACCAACTCTTACCAACTAGCGCTCCGTTACTAGCTAATCAATAACGATTACTAAGACCACCGAATCTTGTCGATGTTGGATAACCATCCTGCGGAACCCTGACTGCAGACCTTCCACAGAACACCCCTGATCCGATCTCGACGATAAACCAAGATGCCATTGTACACTCCCAACCCGCAATTAGGGAAATGACCTTTCACTACCTGCTAATAGTTTTCGGCATGCAAATGGCATATGACCTCACTTGAAGATATAATCCTAACACAAACATGGAAACAACCCAAGTGTACACTTACCCAAACCCTTGGAACGAAAAACTCCATCGTGTAGTTTCCCGCAAGTGTTGTACCGAATCTGGCCCTGCTGGCCTCTTAAAAGCTGATCTGAATTCTTGGGTCTCTCCCCGGGACCCTCCAATATATGCACATGATCTGGTCCCCTCTTCCTAATGTGCTCCCAATCAGTCTCCCGGTCTCGAGCTCTAGAAATCATATCATTCAGGGTCTCGCACCCCGAGATACTCGCGATCTCCCTGATATCATTCTGATGTATGTCATGATGTCTTACCTTCTTCATTTCCTAATTTGTTTCTTACTGCGGTACCAAATAAGCTCTCACCCGAGACTTGGCAGTGATCTCTGCCACAGTCTCAGTAGTTTGGCAGAGACCTAACAACTCTTGCGCCTCAATTGCCTGGGCAAACTCTGCCCGGAATCTTGTCAAAAAGTCAGCCCATGACATAGCATCCACTACTAGAAAAACAGCCTTTTACGACGCGCAATCAATGACACGTGCTGATAGAGGACACGCATTTATGCGTGCCCTAAAAATTGATGTCAGTTTTCCAAAATATGAAGCATAGAGGGCACACATTTTTGCGTGCCCCAAAATTAGTGTCTAATAAAAAAAACACAAAGGGCACCTTAAATAAAATGTGGTCGTCTAACCATGTCGCTTTGTTTAATGAAAAAGCTCATCCCCGTCGAAAACCCCCTTTCTTTCTTTCTTCTCTCTAGATTCTCAAACCTCCAGCGCTTCACTTCTCTACATCTGCTCTCCAACTTTACTAATTGACTTGAAATTGGTCCTGCATGTGTTGAATTCTCGATTGCTTTTTTAATCTGGTAATTTCCTATCACATGAAACTTCCAATTTGCCTCTATAATCAAATAAAGCTTCAATTACAGATATTATTCGCTAATTACTAGTCAGATGCGATCCATATGATTGTTAATGGTGATAGGATTCTGATTTTATGTTGTCAGATATTTTTGATAGATCATCTTTGATGAGGTGTTGATCTATGTTTTGAGTTTTGAGCAATCTAAAATTGTGTATGCCAGACATGGACCAAAGAAGAGACGGATGAACTGTTTGATTTGTGTGAACGTTTTGATCAGCGATTCTCTGTGATTGCTGATAGATTTTCATCATCTGGAACAATGGAGGAACTGAAGAATCGCTACTATAGTGGTAAGTTATCATTTTCAGTTGCATTTTCATTATTACAACTTAATATTTGTTTGTTTTCTGCAGTTTCTCGTACAATATTGATTGGTATGTATTACAAGGACTGACGTCAAAACCCTAACTTCGATAATGGATGCCAAGGACATTCTAGGAATACCAAAAATTTCACTGCCCATACCACAGGAAAAGAAATCGAGACCCCAAAAGGATTCTCAGAGAAAACCCGATGGCATTTCGCGCCTAGGTTTGTACATTACATGCATACATACCTTTGAGATAATTTGTGTGGTTTCTTGATTTTTTGAAGCATTTATGGTTGTAGGTTTATGCGCTTACAAGTGGTGTGGCGCCTCTTATGCCTTCCATTGATGCCAATCAGTTAAAAAAGCGTCATCAACCTGAAAATGAGAAGGTTGGCTTGTGACCTTTTCTAATTTCTCTCCCAAGTTGCTCAAGTATAATGTCTGTAAAATCATCTTTGCGGTTTATCTCCAATTAACCTTACCACCATGGTCTCTTGAGTGTCTCCTTTAACTTCTATTTTTCTGCTTTCAACTTGTTTGTCTTCAATATTTTATATTGGCTGCATTCTTTTAATGAACTTGATGTTTCTCAGAACCAATTTTGGGCTTTTCTAGCTGTTACCACTTACCAGGCTTCTACATAAGCCCATTATTCATTACTATTATTCATTGGTCATTTTTAAAGAACTTTTGTTGTGGCTTACTCTGTTGTCTATTAAATTTACTTCTATGATTGCAACATACTTTCATTAATTTTTTTCTTATTAACACATTATTTTCTCCACATATACAATACAGGTAGATACGATGGTTTAAAATTCCCAACCTGCAATGAATTTGTGCTCAACTGTCCTAACATAACCACTTTAGCACTAAAAGGATTCAAACTTCATGACTACAAGGCCCGTATGCTGGTGAAGGTACACATAGTGCTTTTCCTATTTCCTACTTAACAACAAGTAACAAGTATTGAAGTATGTTGTTAATATTTCAGGGGCTACAGAAATTGAAACATATTGACCTTTCAACATCTTACTCATTCACAGGTTCCTTTTTAAAGTAAGCAATCATGATCATGAATCAAACAAAATTCTGTTATTTGAGTTGTGGATTGAAATTTTGGAATGATAGGAACCTTAGTGCGAATGGTGGTGGAGATAATTTGGAGGTGATGATTTTAAGGGACTGCATGCATCTCAAGGAAATTGAAGTGGAACGCTTTATGGCAGCTGTTCTTGCAGGAGAATTCAAACACCTCAAACACCTTGTACGTAGTAAACCAAATTCATTCATATTTTTTGTTTTTGTTTTTGTATGAGATGTAATATTTGATAAACGAAAATAAAATATTTTGGAGAACAGGACATATCTAACGGGGAAGGTCTAGCATGTGAGGGTGACTGGTACAATAGATGTTACAGTGCCAGGTAGGCAGAATCATTTATTATTAGTTGAAAATATTTTGTAAAGAAGAAATTTACAAATTGGTTGGGAGTTATATGCAGTTTTATTCCTATAAAGGAAGTATTGGAACAAAGGCCTGATTTCTGTCTGGTAGCAGAATTTCCAGTAGGAAGGTATGATTTTTTGGAGCACCTGTTCGTGCGAATATGAGAAATGATAAACTCACTAACGCTTCAGTCACATAATCTTTACTTCAATCTGTAAACTTTCAAGCCTTTCACTACTTCAATATTTCATTCTCCTGTAATTAATTATTTTCTGTTTTTCTTATTCAGGTTGAAAGTAGTGATCTTATAGCTTATGGACAGATTCCAGAGTTTATAGGACGTTTTCCCATTTTACTTAGTTTATCAGCTCTAACTAACTGAGGACAAACTTATTCAGGTTAATATCACATCACCTATTCTATTCTATGAAACACAAAAGTGCATACAGACTTTACTCTTTTTGCTAATATTTTGTTGATTTGGTTCGAGAGTTCATGGTTTCAGATTTGGTCGTTGGTTTTTGATACGGGTTTGTGATGGTTGATTTCGTGCTCGTTCTTGTTACTGAAAGCTTTAGGAGCAATGGCTAATGTTTTTGAATCCATTACTGCAATGTCCATGAGAAGGTCATGAATATAAAGAAGAATCTTTCCTTGTTACTGAAAGCTTTAGGAGCAATGCCTTTATATATAACATTGGCTATCTCCTAAGAAGACAAGGCTTCACTGGTTAGTCTTTTTTCTTTTTCATTTCTATTTTGCTTAACATATGGATACTCTGTGCTACTTGGCAGGTTCTATATCACGTGCTTGGGGCTATACCCTCCGATCAAGGGTCTGTTGGACCAGCATTAACTGAGTTGTGTCTTGGTTTGCAATCTGAAGAAGTAGCACCTGTATGTAGCATTTTAATTATTAGTAATGTAACCATATTTTCTTGATTCCCTTATACGTGTACGTTTATATAATTTCTATCTCTCATATTTTAAATATTTCCTTTCAGGGGCGTGTTCGGGTTTTGGCATTGATATTGAAGCTATTTTCTACTTCAAATGCAGTTGCATCTTTAACTAAAGTAATAACATCGACAACAATTACTTTTTTTTACCCTTTTGTCACCCTTTATCCTATTCTAACAAATCAATTTTTTCCACATTAATTTTGAAATTAAATTACCAATTTACGCTTAAGAAGAAATAGGATCAAATGTATTTTTTTCTTTATATAGTTATGGATCAAATGTATTTTTTTTTCTTTATATAGTTTAAACATCATGCTAGTGTTACCAACATTCTTATTGTTATTTGTATGTGATACCATTAGTAATCATCTTATTAAAGAAATGGGGAGTGACTTGAAGACATGGGTTTCAGACAGATTGATGTCCCTCTTGGGATATTCACAACCCACACTGGCTTAGTTTATGTAAGTTATCTTCAAGTTTTGTATCATTGTCAAATTTTGATGGCATTTGGAACATGTTTGATTCTTCTCTTAATCTCATGCAGCTAAAAAAGCATCATCACCTTCTGAAACAGTTAGAGAATGTATCCGATGCACTAGCTATAAGTAAAATATCAAATCCATATATAAATTTTATAATATTTTCTTTATTAGTGTTTTACTTGCTATATTTGTGATTGCAAATAATATGCAGTCTACAAAGAGACATTTATCAAAGAGACTTGAAAACTTTGACTGGAATTAGAATACAACACTATCATAAATTTATTCTTGAAAGTACATTGCTATTTTTTACATTAACCCCCTAATTTTTTTTTGCAGGATTGTGGAGAGTGTGGGAGAAGGAGTAACTGAATTTGCAGAAGGTGACCATGTTCTGACATTGTTAATTGGAGAATGCATGAATTGCAAGCAATGTGTTTATGGAAAAAGCAACATCTGCCAAAAACTAGGGTTTTGAAAGAAAAGGTGTAATGCATAGTGATCAAAAAACTCGGTTTTCTGTCAAGGGGAAGCCCATTTATCACTATTGTGCTGTTTCTAGTTTTAGTGAATATACAGTTATTAATTCTGGATGTGCTGTAAAAATGACCAAAACTGCCCCTCTAGAAAAAGTTTGCCTCCTCAGTTGTGGAACAGCAGCACGTAAACAAACTTTGTAAAACAGAAATTTGCATAATTGGTCCCTCAAGTTTCAAGGTTGCAAATTTGGTCCTTTTGTGGTTTTTGTCCCTTCTCAAAATGAAAAAGACTGTTTTGCCCTTGTGATATATATATATATATATATATATATATATATATATTAAATTGCAAATTTGGTCCTTTTGGCATACTTTTGTTGTGATTTTGGTCCCTCCTCAACTTGAAAAAGACTATTTTGCTCTTCTGATGTATTTTCTAGATAATTTTAAATAAGGGACCCCTCTTTTTAGTCATTTGAAAAGAAAATCCAAAAGAAATTACGTAAGGGCAAAATAGTCTTTTCAAGTTGGAACAGGGACGAAAATCGCAACAAAAGTATGCCAAATTTGAAAATTTAAAACTTGAGGGACCAAAACCAAAGAAAAAGGCAAACCACAGGGACCAATTTTGCATTTTTCATAAATAAGAAAATTTTGAAAAGAAATATTGTAAATAGAATTGTTTTTATAGGTTTGGGTGCAGCTTGGAGTGTTGCTAATGTTTCTAAAGGATCAACAGTTGCGATTTTTGGTTTGGGAACTGTAGGGTTATCTGTAAGTATCTAAACCTGTTTTTATATCATTTTTATTGGTTAATTGAAATGTCAATTGATTAGGTTGCACAAGGTGCTAAAATAAGGGGCGCATCTAGGATAATTGGGGTGGACACTAATCCTGAAAAGAAAGAGAAAGGTAATAACACACGATTTATTTTCATAACAAGGGCTAAATCTAACAAGTCTTTCTTGATGTGATTAGTATAAAAATTGTTCATTAATAATGATTTTTGTTATTTGTGCAGCAAAAGCTTTTGGAGTAACAGATTTCATCAACCCAAATGACATTGATGAGACAGTTCAACAGGTACACTAGTACTATGTTGATGTTAATAAATACTCCAATAATAAGATTAATAAGGATAATATAGTTGATTTCTTATATTTATGATTTCAGGCTATCAAGCGACTTACAGATGGTGGTGTAGACTATTCATTTGAATGCATTGGAGACACTGAGATGATAAATACAGCTTTGCATTCTTTCTGTGATGTAACCTAACTAACTCCTTTCTTAATCTCTTAATCTTTAAAAGGTAAAAAAATCTATTTGAGATGATTATTTTTGTCATTAATTTATTAGGAGTGGGGTGTGACGGTTACTCTTGGGGTTCCTAAGACAAACCCAAATGTAGCATGTCATTATGGATTATTTCTTACTGGAAGAACACTAAAAGGGTCTCTTTTTGGAGGATGGAAACCAAAATCAGATATTCCCAGGTAATAAGTACACTTCTTTCAAACGATGTAAGTCTCCTACTTTACAATTTATATAAAATTAATAGTTTCAACATTTTATCATAATTTTATAATTAAAAATGTTTATAATTCGAGTTTTACTTTACACTGGTAAATGATGTAAGGTCGAATCTTAATTAAATATCAGTGTTGTAAAAATCGGTCTAGGCGGCCGATTAATCAGCGCCTAGGTGCTTGGCGGCCACCAACTGCCTACGAATAGGTGTTAGAAGGTTAATTAATCGGCCTTAGTCAATATCGGTCAAAATCGGTCCAAATCGGACTAAATCGGACCCTAATCGGACCAGTTAAATTTAAGAAACGCGCTAGCTCAAAGGAGCCAGCTTGCTAACATAGCTTAGATTGGTTTTCTAAGAGATACAAGCTTTTTTTATAGAATAAGTCTGCCTCTAAAGAATGCTCCCACCAGCGATGTGGGATGGACTTATAACTGTTTCATATCTCCACTTTACATCTCGTTCTTCCCTACTTTGCATCTCGTTCTTCTTAAGGAGAATTTGAGTTCTATCACCGACCCACCCTTCTTCTCGAACAGGGAAGGTATCACGACTCTAGTGTACAAAGGATAGTTCTTCTCCCTGATTCAATTGCTTCAATCTATGAAGGTTCTTCTCCCTAATTCCATCTCCGACGCCATGTAAAGCTGATTTTAACGAGGATAATTCTTATCCCTGATTCAGTTGCTTCAATCTACGAAGGTTAGTTCTTCTCGGTGACTCGGATTAACGAGGATGCAGGTGGCGGTTGGAGCAGGTGGCGGAAATCGCGTCGACACGAACCTCGCAGGTTAGTTATTCAATCACGACTCAGCGCCTTTGGTCTTAATTCTTTCGACTCAATCCTTGTTGATCAATGATTCGATTGGATGATTTTTTGGAAACTATCCGACTAGGCTATTGCAAGCTACTTCTTTGAGCCCGATTTTTGCAATTGCATATTGTTTATTAAGTTCCCTTACTTCCAGCAGCAGCTGAAGGGTCCAGTAAATGGTTTGGTCTAGGCTTTCATTGTATTTTGTTCAGTATGAGTCTGTAACACAGTTCTTGAGTTGTTTATGTGTTTTAGATCGGTAAGTGTGTTTACGACCGTAAACAGAGTTTACGACCGTAAACAGAGTTTACGGCCGTAAACATGTTTACGACCGTAAACCCTGTTTACGGTCGTAAACCCCGTTTGCGGTCCAATTCAGTATAAATAGTGGATGTGTAGGTCTTTGTGTGGTTGTTGATGCCATTGCGTTTACAGAGAGTCCCATCTAGTTGTACCTGACGTTTTTCTGAATATAAACGTGTGCAAGCTCGATTTCTTTTCATCTTATTCTTCTATTCGTGATTGTTTGTTGCTTGACTACTGGTAAAGACCCTTATTAGGACTTTACAGCAGCTCCATCTTCTTCAAGGATATACTTGGGTAAATTTATAAAGTCTCACTAGTGCAAATTGGACACTTCTTCTTCTTGCCCGCCAGGTGTTCGATAAAATGTCTAAATGAAGTTTTATGTGTGAAACGATGATGCTAGCCAAATGATGGTTCCAATGTTTGCAACTTTAGGGTTCACAGCCTCATGGAACACTGGTCCTCTCTTCAACAATCAATCTTCTTTTTCATTTGATAGGTGTTATTTTCAGTTAGAATGTCATGTAGTCTCTTATATTGTTGAACATTTCTAAGTTGTTTCATTTTCCTTCTCTCAGGTGGACAAAGCACAATTTCTATAAAGCCTAATGCTTCAAAAATGATGCAGATGGAGGTAATAAGGCACATAATATTATTTGCTCTATCTTTTGTAATAAACAATATGTGATTTTGTTATTTTTGATTTAACAGAATATGATGTTGAGTAACCAAGTAGCCCATCTGTGAAAAAGAACAAAGAGACCGATATCTATTTGTTTCAGTCAAAGTGATTCAACAGATAAAGATGCATGGAAAGATAGAGGGACAGGACAACTGTATATCAAATGCAAAGAATGTATCACCACAGGCAAAGAATCCAAACTTACAATTGTTGTTAGAAATGATGTGTGTTATTTTTAATTTTTATTTTCACAAAAGTTTTAAAGATTTATGAGAGGTTTGCTTCATTTTGTTATATCATTATTGTGGAAAAGGTCTCGTAATTAATAATGTCGTGTTGCAAATAATGGCCAATTATGTTCTATGTTTTGGGTTTCTTTTCAAGTGGGTTTTTATGTGAAGTTACAAATTAAAAACAAAAATTAATTGTGTATTAATATTTATTATTCGGTAGATTTACTAATTTTTGAATAATTTTTTAATAATTAATGGTCTCCGATTAATCCCCCGATTAATCTGCGCCTAGCCGATTAATCTCTTGACCCCAGTCCACCACCAAGCCTACGTCGAGCGTTTTCTGCAACCATGTTAAATATCATATCTCAAGTGTGGTCCCACATTCTTTGGATGGAGAAAAGGGTAATTTTGTTTTTTACAACTAACATTCCATGTTTGATTCTTCTAATAGTTATATTAGCATATTAATTTTTTGACTTTTATTTGATCAGGTCACAAGAATTATCGGAGCAAGGGTTCATTAGTCTTAAAGAATTATGAAAGGCAAGATGCAACTCTACTTAGTTGGAATTTGATGTTTATCATCTTTGTGTATATATTTTTAGTTTGTATATCATTACATTGCAGAAGGTGTCCCTTAATAGCAATGTAGTATTAGGTTATATAGTTAGAGAAAACTTCTTAATAACAATGTACAATTAGATCCCCATAATATCAATGTAGTACAACTTTTTGAGATGATGTTATTGGATGAAATTGATTGTTTTGGTATATAATTGTTTACATATTTTTGTATTATGCGTAAATGAGTATCGTAAAGACGCGTCGTAAATGCATATCGAAAATGGTTATTGAAGTTTATTACATGCAAATGCGTGTCATCTTCATTTATGACAGGGGCTTCCTTGATACGCATTGCGTGTCATAAACATGCGCGTTGTAAGGTTACGACACGCAAATGCGTGTCGTCTTTCTTTATGACATGCCTTCCTTGATACGCATTGCGTGTCGTAAATGAGCGTCGTAAATGCGTGTCGTAAATGCGCGTCGTCTATATACGACGCGCAAAAGCTTGTCGTCTCTCGTTATGACAGGGCCTTCCTTGACACGCATTTGCGCGTCGTCTGAGCGTTTTACGACACGCATTGCACGTCGTAAAAGGCTGTTTTCTAGTAGTGATCAACCGCATCATCACTCAACTCACTACCAACCTCTTCCCATCAATCACGCGCCCTGTATTTCAGGAGGCAGGAAGCAGGTCGGACCTTGTCCCCTTCGGGATTACGGCTGATACAAAAATATTGGCGACATCTGCCAATCACCTGCTGCTAGCAATAGGGTCCCTAGCCCCATGATAATATGGAGCTTCACAAGCTCTGAACTCCCTAAACATCAACGTATGCGTCCCTATCATGGCTGTTATCTCAGTGCAGAATGCACTCAACCTCTCATCACAAATCTCTAAAATGCCCTCCTTGATCATACCGAAGATCACATGAGTCTGGTAAGTGATACTGTGCGTACTCTCAGATGGAATGAACTCCCTCATCTGACCATCAAGCTGCCCGACTCCAGAGTCTGAGCCTGATCCCTCGCCGACACCAGAACTACCATCTGGTCTACCACGTAGCGTCACCATACTCGGAAATATACCATCACAATCATCATAATACCCATCCTAACTCAAGGGATCTCACACACTACAAGTTCCCTGGATTCATTTCAGCCTTCCTTGATTCGAGTATGGATCTTCTGCTTTCAGTAGTACGGGCCCATACTACCTTCCACATCTATCCGTACTCTCCTCAAGAACTGCCTTGACTTCACCAAGTCCCTTATACTACTACTGCTTCACGCGCTAATCTCATCCTAGGCTTGCCCTAGGGTAATCACCATCCCACTCTCCACCATCAGCTGCATAAGGAGTCCCTGCTATCTCCCCCTAACTAGCTCGCGAATACCATTACATGTCACTAAAACTAGATAATTCTTCGAATGAGAGGTCCTACCCTACAACGGTTAGGCTCAAACGAGAGCTGCAAAAATAAGGCTAAACCTAACCTTCTTAAATTATTTAGTCCTCATAATATGTAACTTAACATATTCGTTTACTAGTTAGTAAGAGATAACTAGAACTCCTAAAAGCACAAAGCAAGCAGCATTCGAGCACTGAGTACACATAATCAAGCCATCATATCACTGACTAATATGTACTAGCATGCAGTTCATAAAGCTGATACACATATAACATGCACATAAGGCATCCTTTCTAGATCGTTAGCCCTAATCTAGCATGCAGTTCTCATAAGCATACCATAACATAAACTTGTATGGGTAATTTAGGACTACTTACTTGAGCTCGGCTGATTGCATGCACCACACCCTTTTCTCTTTCCAAAGTTCTTTTTTCTTTCCAAAATTTTTTTCCTTTTTCAAAGTTCATTTTCATAAAAATGATTTCCTTTTGAAAATTTTCATACCAAGTCCTCAGTTTGAGTTCAGACACACCCGAGAGTGTGCCCGAATCCCTCAAACCAAGGCTCTGATACCAACTTGAAACATCCCAAAAATACGGTCCAAAAATTTCGTTTTAAATCATAAATAAAAACCATAAGTATCATTCATCATATAAAAATCATAATCGTGTATCTCATAAATGTTATAAACAACTATCAATATATAGAAATCATATATCAAACATCAGAGTAAATCATCCCAAGCTAAAAGCTGTGGTGTGTACCATGCAGTCATCCCGAGCTCTTCCCCTTACTAGCGGAAGTACCTGAAACCAAAACTGAAAACTGTAAGCACGAAGCTTAGTGAGTCTCCCAATATACCACATACCATACACATATCACATAATCTCATAATCACATATCAATATATCGTGGGCCCCACCCTGCTACATTGGGCCCCGCCCGGTATCGACTTGCCGTACATCGGACCCCGCCCGACATCAGACCGCATCTGGCATCGGGCCCCGCCCGACATCAGACCGAAGTCTGGTATACATATGACATATCAACAAGCATATAACATAAAACACATAACATAAACATAACTTGGGCCTAGCCCACTACATCGGGCCCCGCCTGACATCGGACCGAAGTACGGCATTGGGCCACGCTCGACATCGGACCGAGATCCGGTATACATGATCATATCAACAAATACATATAACATAAGCACATAACATAAACATATTAACATTCTTCGGGCTTGCCCCAGCATCGGAACGAAGCCCGAAACATATAACACATAACATATAAGCTAAACATTTATCGGGCTTGCCCCGACATCGGACCGAAGCCTAGAACATATAACATACATATGCTAGAATCACGAAGACATCAAGCATACAAAACATTCCTCGGGCTTGCCCCGTCATCGGACCGAAGTCCGGAAGCATACAATCTACATCGGGCTAACCCCGACATCGGACCGAAGTCCGACATATGCTAACATAGATAAACGGGTCAGCATTGGTGCCTTCGACCCGTTCCTACTGGAGGAAAACTCACCTCACACTACCGAA